AAGTGTGTAAGTGAACCAGACATTTTTGGTCTTGAAAACAAAATAATGAAAATAAGGTCCCTGGGCCCTGGTCCCATACTAAAATAACTACATGATTTCATTTTTTTCCTTTTTTTTATATTTTTTATCACTATGAAAACCTGCATTCAAATTGACAGAATAATGTTGACAATACGTACCTTACAATTGAGATGACTACTGTTCTTCGTCATGACATTTCGAATCAATTCATTCAAACCAAGGTCTTTCAAACCATTGTCCAGGGAGATACCATGAAGGCAAACAGTGCTCCCAAGTAAAAGTAAAGGCACTTGACACAGGACACATTTCCAGCAGTTATAGAGGATATAGAATACAATAAAAACATTACCATATCGCTACCTCAGAATTACAAAGTTCTATCTCACATTTTTAGCCATTTCGAGTTATTAAGACCAAGAGGTTAGAAACAAATGCTGTACCTGCTTTATCAAAATTGTAAGAATATTCAAAGTCGTTGCCAAGATCTTGCGTGTGAAAAAGCTTGACAAGTTGTGAAATTCAAGAATTTTGACATCATTTCTAAAAACTAGGTATTGAGCAGAAAGAACTTTGTAATTTTGAGGTAGTGATATAATGGGAGTCAACAGCATCACATAAAACCATGAACTTCAGAGGCCACATGTTGACCCAGCCACAGCAACAAATGCAAAATCTCATAACTCCACAACAATATATAGAATAAGAATACCTGGTTCGAGATAAACGCCCACAATATAAACTATGCACATCCAAAGAACTAAGATAAAAAGAGATTTATACCGAAAAGAATGCCTTGAGAGGGTCAATGATTTGTTGACATATAATTTTACAAATAAAAAACAGTACGACAAGTCTCCTGCACAACTGTTTTAGCATTTTTTTTTCAGAAACTCAACTAACACAGGTATGCAGGTAGGTAGGAAGGTATACAAGAGTATTAAGAGAACATTTATTTCTGCTCATTTCTACAAATGAGCAATGGGACTTGCAATGCATATAAATATATAAAGCTGGAATAGATTCCAGTGTGTGATCCATTCCCATCAAATCCTCCTTCACAACACAAATTCTCAAACCTATATAAACAAAATGCCAGAAATTCTACAAAATCATTAAGTAAACAGATTCAAAATACCCTTTCAGTTAACAGCAAGACAGCTGTGCTAACAATCTGTGAAACCTTTTATGAATATAAAATAACTTGAGCATTTCTCTGGATGGAATGAACACAGGTAAGAGCTACAAGCACATAAACAATAGATAATGTGTTTTGGTAAGTGTTTTACAGTGCTCGCAACTGCATAAGGTCACATTTTCAGTTAGGTAGGAATTTTGAATTTTACTCGGGTGGCAGTCGAAGCCTACTCTTACCAATTTTAGGACCACTAAGGGATCTTTAACTTGCGCAACTTGCACATGGGACTTCTGAGATTTTTTGGGCCTTATCCGAGAAGGCTAGGTGTTAGATCTTACCTAAGTAACCTATCACAAGATCAGGGAGGTGACTGAAAGACAGCAATAAGAAGGAGCCAAAGAGTAGGAGCAGAAAGACTGAAGAAAGAGTCAGGAGCCCAGAAGAGGGGGCAGAAAGTGGAGAAAAAAGCAGATTATAGAACATTGTTAGAGAAAAGGAAAGGAGGTGAAAGACAGGTGCGTAAGACAGAACGGACAACTTACGCAACAACAATAATCATATATATAGTTTAGTCGCTGTCACAAGAAAAATCAATAACTCGAGTTACTTTTACTTACCCTGTAACCAGTGAAGCAAGGATAAACTGACAGGCGTAATTTTCTTTCAACAACAACCATATCTCTATCACAGAGAAGGAAAAATTATACAGGAAAATAGATTTTCAATACCCAACATACCCAAGAAAGGTAACAATTCTGCTTAACAATGTTTACTCTCTGAACCCCACTCCGCACAGAAATGACATGTAACATTATATAATGAAAAACAAATATTCCAACAGGTCACAAAAACACAGCCAAGCAGAAATCAACTGCAAGTAACAGAAAGGGGGGATTTAGGAAGAAAAAATGTTGCTAAGGAAGGAGAGAGTGAGAAATGATTAGGGGCAAATGGACAGGGGTTTGTAACAAAACAGCAAAATCCATTATGAAATTCAGAAACAAACTTTTACACAGCGTCAAAGTAACTACAAAACATTCTCCTCTTACTGGGCTGGTCCAGCATGCACATGCACACGTACACGCACATGCACACACAAACACACACACACTCTCTCTCTCTTTCTCTTTCTCACACATACACATGCACACACACACACACACACACACACACACACACACACACACACACAATTGTCATCTTAAAGCTGTCTTCCACACAAGGCTAAAAGCAGAACAAACAAAATAAAAATATTTCATTATTGATCTTTGATAATCACAAGTGCAGACTAAACTCCCAATCCAAGGAAACGGAATATGAAAAGGCACCAAATGCATTTGACTTCACCTCAAAAAAATATATATATAATACAAGAAAAACATTTGCTTCAAGATGATGGATTTCCTTTCGACATCATTATACAGTGTACAAAAATCATTTACATACATTCTTCTGCTATTTATACCTCAAATTTAAATTAACCGACACAGATGCACACACACAAACTCAGACTAAGAACTGCTCCTAATGGCACAGAGTCTAATCTTCACCGTCACTGTACTTACAATTTAACACAATAAATGAACATTTACAGTGTTCCATTTTGCCAAACCAAATTCCAACAACTTCAATTTAGCTTCACAATAAATAGGAAAAAGACAAATGGTAAAACGAACAATTCAGGATGAAAATCAGCAGGGCAAATGAAAACATACATAGTATACATAAACGCGTACAGTCGAAATTGTCCAAGTCAGTCACCCACTGTTGAGGAGAGAAATGGTTGTCTTAGACAGATGGACATCTAAGACAGCCTCATTACAATGCAGGAACAAAAATTCAAAGGGGGCAGTGGGTTGTAGTTATTGCCCTGTGAGTCTTTTCCCACAAGTGCTTAGCCATATCAGAGCTTAGAATCATGCATAGAGAGAGTAGCTAACTGGACTGACTTGCTTGTGGGGTATTTTCATGTGAAAATCGTAAGAATTTGTGCAATCTCACCCGAGTCCCTCTAAGGAAAAATTATATTTACATTTGGAGACATTTTGGCCACCAATCTCTTTTTGAGGGGTAGAACTCTTATTTCTTAGGTTACATATTCCTATCAAATCTCCACATGTAACACAATCACTAATTCATCATCTGATCAGCAATAAACTGGTTTGTTAACTGTACGTGTGTACTAATAATGTCTTATCAACCACATATTTTTCAGCACATATGAAGATGTAAGCACAATTTAATATGACGATTCAAACAACAACTACGATTTCAGTGCATCTCAGTTATACACCTAAAACATTGGCATATCATGCGAATTTATTTGACAGTAATGACAGCACTGCTTTTGCTACTATGACTACATACACTATACACTTCTATCAATACAGCCAAACAATTACTTACTCACTCACTCTCTCACACACAAGCAGGCACACACTCACGCACACATACAAGCAAACACAGATTTTTTTCCAAATATGAAGCATACAATGTATATATCTTCAGGCGAAAAAAAAAAGAATGCAGACATGAGGTTCAAGATCTACAGCAATAACAATGCGGAAATACCAGTGTTCAATTGACAAATTATTTTTTTCAAAATAGGAATGTCTTTGATGAGAAAGATGGCACAAACAAATTAAAATGTATTCCAAGAATTCCAAGAAGCACAACTCAGTCAGCAGTTCAAAGTACTTACACTTAATAGAAACTGTATTACCAAATTGCAAATATAGTTATCAGCTAATTTTTTTATTTTACAAGCAAGGGGGACCAAACAACGACATCACAGTTTGTGATGTCGCAAAACATTTATGTCCAAAATGCCACCTTAAAAACATTTATCTCTCAGGATATCAGATGGTAAAGAGCCAATATAGTAAACCTGGTTAGAAATTCAAAAACACTTTCCATTGGCAAGCTTCAGGCATTTAGGTTTTTCACTTTGAATAAATTTTTTTAGCACCCTTTGTTTGACTGAGTGATTAACTCTCAGTAAAAGGCGCACCATTTCAACTGGCTCACAACAGCATCACTCAGTTGTTTAAAATTTACAGTCATGACAAAAATCTGTCCAGCCTCTACAAATTCCATCTTATCTTTAATCAACAAACTGTATGTTTACTGCTAGGATCATTTTTTCTTCACAGTCTTATATGCAAACAGGTTAAACAGGAGGAGCTGAGTTGTATAGAAGTTTGATATGCTGAACGCTTGGATGATAAAATTGGCAGCGTGCACAGGAGGAATAGCCTTTCGCATGCTTAGAGTTAATTCAGAGGCACGACTTGTAAAGTAATGTGTCTTCCAAGAGACTAGCCGGAGAACACAATAAATCCTCAATAAAAAACAAAAAGCAGCTTGAGACAGACTTACACTTACAGGGACTCTACTTAAAACTATTTGCACCGGTATCCAGCGAGTCAAACCAACAACATATGTGTCGCGACGTGGTGGAATTAGGCGTTCATCACTTTTTGACATATTTTGTTATTGGTATCATCTTAAAGCCTGTTCATTTGCCTTGCTTTTGGGGAAAACAATATTCATCTATGATGAATAGAAGTCGAAATATTTGAGATTAAAAAAGATCACGGTCGCCTCATTTCAGAGGTAGAATTAATGAGAAAATGGCCGCCAAAGTCTGGTAATTTCCATAGCTCGAGTCTTTGGAAACTGAAAATGGACATTTTTTTAGCCTTTAATCAATGTTTTACAGTAAAATTTACACAGAAATGTACTTTTAAAAGGAAATAAAAGGTGTGGAGCCCCCCAAAAAAATTAGAAAAAGAAATGGCCAATGGTCATAAAAATGCCAATTTTTTTTAATTTATTATATTGACAAGCGCCTGATTTTACCAAGATGCCTCACATATGCATTCAAAATTTAAAGAAAAAATGTTTCAACATCTCAAAAATAGTTATAGATGAAACACTGTGTAAAAACAAATCGTGACTTACTATAGGAAACTATTACAATAAAAAGCATCTTGACATGTACATAGAGTTATAAATGTGAAATTTAAAGAATATGCTGTATGAACAAATTCATGAAAATTGCTGGAAAAGTTGAGCATAACCACATATTTTTTTCTATATCATATGAGTGACTCGGGTTACGAAAACCAGTATTATGTCAGCATCGACAATTTTGAGAGCAACAAAAAAGGTGGTCGTGATGTTCAAGTTTTTGAGACATTATGTTTAGAAAATATGAGAAAAAATAAGAAAAAAAAATCCATTTTTCAGATCATGTTCGACTTGGTGAGATAAACAATGTGTTACTATGGAAATGTCCTTTATGCTGCACGCTAGTTCCATATCAATGTGTTCGTCTTTTCAAACTCATTGTATTGTCCACAGTTCTAATAAACATATTCAACCAAATTGAACTGGATAAGGTTTTAGCCAAAACCCTTGTCTACATTTGAGGTAATGACGTCAATTTAGATACAGGCTTAAATCTAGAGTCAAATAAAACTAAAAGGTTAGTATTAAAAGTGTAATTTTCAGACATCCCTAACACTGACTATAACTATAATATTAGGCTGTAAAATTGTTTCTAAGCTTGTAAGATTGTTTTATTAGTACATGACGATGCCTTTATGTAGCAAATTATAGGCCTTTGAAATGCTCACATACATGGAGGAATTAACCAAAACTGGAAAGAAACTTCAAACATGTGTTCTTCAGTTGATACTTTTGAGTCTTTAGATTTTTCAAATAGCCATACTTCAGGCTCTAAACAAGATATTCACAAAATTCAAAAAGCAAAATGTCTGGGGACATGTCAATTACCAAGTGGTACTAACCACTCAAATTGTCCAAGTGATGACAAACACTGGTTTTCGCAGGCTGCTTCATACATATTACATTGTCAGGCATTTACACACAAAAAAAACCAACTAAAGAGAAAATGTACATATTACATTTTAGCACAATAAAGCGCTTTATGACGCAATTCATTGCTTTACCCACTACTTTCTAATAGATGAGCTGAGTGGTTGAGGTGGTGATGTGTATGTGACTGTGTGTGGTAGTGTTGGTGGGGGGGGGAGGGGAGCCACAGATGTGCAGCAAAACAATACCCGTAAGTAAAATGAAACCATGAAAAAAATTTTAAATCTTGATTACTTGCGTTGAAAATTTCTTTTGCCTCCAAATTTGCTGGTCAGCATCACATCATAGATAGCCATATCATGAGTAACCGCTTTGCACATGTCGTAAACGGTCAAAGCCGCGACCGTGACTGCAGTCAAAGCCTCCATCTCAACCCCCGTCTGACCCACAGTGCGCACTAAAGAGGTGATCTCCACCACAGGCAGATTCTCCTCCTCCATCAACCGACACTGAACGTCCACTTTGGTCAGCGCGATGTTGTGGCACAGCGGGATCAGCTGGGGCGTCTGCTTGGCGGCCATGATACCCGCCAGCTGCGAAACTGTCAACACGTCGCCTTTCTTCATGCGGTTTTCTTTGACGAGACGCGCGGCTTCCAGGCCCAGCCACACGTAAGCCTGTGCTCGTGCTTCTCGCGTGGTCACCTTCTTTTCTCCCACGTCGACCATCATAGCCTTACCGCTGGCATCGGTGTGCGTTAGTTTAGGTTTTCCGTTTTGACTCGACTCAATCCCGTCCTCCCTCCCCTCCTGATCAAGTAGCTCAGGCTCAAATCTTTCATTATTCTCTGCAGTCCTTCCTCCCTCTATCTTCCCTGCATTCATCACATCAGCGTAAAGCTTAGCATAATCCCCAGTCCGAACCTCAGAGTCACTGCCACTGCCTACCGCAGGATTCACCCCAACGTTATAGCTTGTCCGAGATCCTCCTTGCATCATTTCAAGATACTTTTTTGCGTAACTCTCAAACCGATGTTCATCCTCATGTTTATTGGAACCATCACCTTGAACAATTTTATCATGGTCACTTGAGCCTGACCGTGAGCTAAAACAACGAGTAAAAACTTTCCCCTCCCGACTTGAAATTCCACCAAGGATACCTGTCTCAGGGGAAAACGGTGCAACAAACCCACTCAGGGCACTATTCACCGTTCTATTTGGTGAAGCATATTCCGAGTAACGTAACATGGAAGTATCACAATCAACCGGACGACAAAAACTAGAAATTGAAAAATAAAAATAAAGATCTGTTCCTATCACAGGTGGGCTAAAAATACCATTATCTTCTGCCCCTGACAGCAATTCGGCTCCAGTTCTTGTATGAGATCGATGACTGTTGATTTTATCTGAAGATAAAAAGATACCATTTATTATTTATGTTTGCATGGGAACAAAGCATTTCAAAGCTGAAATCAAATAGTTTTTCTCAAAAGAAACTACAACACAGTTTGTTTTGGGGTTTTTTTCCGAGTGATAGAGAAGTGAAAGGGCGTGCTAAAAGTCATAAAGCACAAGCAAAGTTGTCGCTGTTGTTGTTGCTGATGTAGCTGTTTGTAGATAGTTGCAAGTCAGCACAATTTAAGTTGCTTTTCACCAGGTACAGAATAGAATAACAGTGACAATAAAAAAGATGTAGGTGGAGGATATTGACGACACTGGAACAACCACCAACGACCCGCACCATGAAAAGAAAAGCGAGACAACAGACAAGTTTCTGTTTGTTTTTGGTAAGAATTTTCTGGCACATGCAACACAATTAGGTCATATAAGTGCCGAAGATTAGAGCTGTTACAAGAGAGTAACAAACACAAAAAAGAAGAAGGACGAGTTAAGGAAGATAGATGTTTAGTAGGAAAGAAGGAGCAAACCACACCAGAGCACCCGCCAACCACCCACAGAGGCAAATTTGTAAGATTGAGTAAAGAGAAACAAATCAACATGATGACAATCATTTAGAGCTGGAAAAAAGCAAATTAGACACATAAACAGAAATAACAGAAGGAAAGTCAAGAAGTAGGACCCTGCCAGAGGTGCCCCCCAAACTGCCACACACCATGCTCCCTTGTACTATTTTCATGTATAGAGAGAAAACACTATCAATACTTCCACAAGAGACACAGCGATGACTGGACTCGAAAAGAAAGTATTGCCACAAACATAGGCTGAATTTGTAGGTGTAGCCAATACAAGTTGATGCTTTTTTAACTCTTTAAACCCCATCGGACGTTGGGAGCGTCCAGCGGTAATAACCCTGTTCCCCATTGGAGGCTGGGAGCGTCCGATACTAGTGACAACTGTTTCATTTTATATAGTGTTAGTTTTTGCTTGTTTTTTGGAACTATACCCAAACCAAGTTTTTTTAAAGTAATAACTAAGCATTCGTTTCCGTCATTTAGAAGTCGGAGGCAAGCTTTTGGGGTTATAATGAGGCATAGTGCACCAGGTTTAGGTGACTGTAGAACAAAACTCCGGGAACTGTGGAAAAAACTCGGGGTTTGAAGAGTTAAATAGAAAATAAATTATTGTACCATTAGACTAACCATCTTACAACAAAGTGAATAATTTCAACTCATCAGTGATTGCTATGCACTGTCCCCGATGCTTTTTTTGTGCATGTTACTCTCTATTTATACCTCTAAACATCAGCACTTATATGACATATCTGTGCTGCAAGTGCTGTAAAACTCTTACTAAAACTTAAGTCTTTCATGCTGACATTGCCTACTATAGCCATTGACTTTTTGATTTCCTGGTCATCTGTAACCCCCCACCACCACCACACAACCTGTTTTTCCCCTCAAGAATATTATGTATCACCATGCGGTGGAATCAGGCGCTTGTCAATGTTGGCGCATCTGGACTTATTGGAATAACCTCAAAGTCTCAAAGCGTGTTAATTTGTTGTTGGTTTTTTTAATGAGAAATATATCAATCTATCTCGAACAGAAGTCAATTAATTGTGATTGAAGAAGGTGGAGATCGCTGGGGTCAGGAGTAAAATTTGGAAGAAAATGGCCACCAAAATCTGGCGACTTCTAAAGCTTGAGAATCATGGGAAACTGCAAAGTGACATTTTTTTGTGCCTCTGATCAATGTTTTTACCATCAAATTCACATAGAAATTTATTTATAAATGGACATAGGGGCTCTCGTGGTCTAGAGGTACGGTGTTCGCCTCACATTAAATAGGTACCAGGTTCGAAACCTGACAGCGACGGGACAATTTTCTTCTCTGGAACGTTCTCCATTCACCTCATTTCCTGCTCTCTAGCTATGTTCTGTCGTCTCCTCTTTCTGCCCCCTCCCCTCCATTCCCTTTACCCCCTCCTCTTGGCTCCTGACTCTTTCTGCTGCCTCCATGATTCTTTCTTACTGTTGTCTTTCAGCCACACCACAATGTGGTGGCCAGGAGCCAGGGAACTTATATTGGAAGAAACAAAAGGGTCAAATCCAAACTGACAAAGACAAGGTGAAAATTTCCCCCTTTGATTACAAAATATTTTTAAATTTACTCTCTCCATTCCAGCAGCTGTTTCTTTCAAGTCTCCGGTCTGTAACGCATACTTATAATAAAACAAAACATGAAAAAGGATGCATGACAAATTATTTCTCCATCATGATTTCCAAGAACATCATTTTTTAAGGAAAATTCCAGGAAAACATGGCAAAAGGATGCCCAAGAAGAAGATGGGAATTGGGACATTACTGAACAAATGTAGAAAAGTGTTACCAAGACAGGATGTATGGCATAAGAAAAAAGTACAGTCGAACCTGCTCTAACAACCACAACCTGTCCCAGACAATTACCAGGACAAATGAACCAAGACAATTACCTGTACAAAAGAGCACATCCCACTCACCCCCTGAGTTTTTCTTTTCTACACCATAATGACACTGTTCAAGAGAACCCCCTTGTCTAAGTGATCACTTTTCTCCCTACCAGTGGGTGGTTCTTTTGCACAGGTTCTCTTGTACTTTCAAATGGGCTGTCAGGAAGACTGCGCTACGAAAATTATTCTACTGAGAAAAAAAGATTTCGGGGTGTGAAAAGAATCAGTGTAGGTCTACTAACCAGAAATTTGACGGTGACAGGCTTGTGTCACCCCCCGATAAGAATCATAGGTCGGTTCTCCATCTGGGATAAATTGGTCATACCTAGGAAATAAACATGATAGTTTATTTGTAAGAAAAAACAGCATTGTAGACCGTCCTGTCAAGAATGTAATGGCTCTTGAAGGCCAAAATCATTGAATCATATTCATAACAGATTACGAGGAATCCTTGCATGTGTATTCACCATGAAGAAAAAGGATGGTCCTCTAGTCTCAGTTATCTGTACTGTTTGGTTCCCAAAGAAATGGCAGCCATTTTCTAAATTTGAATCCAAATTGCCCAGATTCAAACTCTATGTTCTACCTGTACTCTAACTGTCACTCAATCATCAAGGAATCTTTTACAATGTTAAAACTGGTATAAGATCTAACTTTGCACAGAGCTGTTTTTCTTGAAGCAAAATACAGTCGAGTTTGCTATAACGATCACCCGTCCAAGACAACCACTTGTGCAAACACACACTTCCCACTTCCCCCTTTGTGTTTTTTCTATATTATAAGGACACTGTCCCTGAGGACCACATGTCTAAGATGATCACTTTTCTCCCCAACAAAAGGTGGTCATCTTGGACAGGTTCGACTGTGCTTTTTTAAAATTCGTATTTATAGTGGGCATAATAAACATAATTTTTCACAAAGTGTCAAATCATGACAGACATTTTCTCAAGTAAATGAAATTACATCACAAAAATCTTCCACGCCTTTGCATAGGTGAGAAGTAGCGTCTCAGTGCCATATAAAAAAGTGACATATGACGGAGTCACCAACATACGCAGCAGTATGTAAATAAAAAATGTGTAGAGCATAAGTATTCACAGACAGCTCCCTGCAGAAAACCAACAATTCATTGTTTCCATTGTCATGAAATTGCAGTCTTGTAACTAAACGAATCGGAGTGATGAATCAGTCAGGTTTTGTCATTTATCTGCCTTGGGCTTCACTGTGCTTAATGACATTATTGATTCATTATGACAATGTGAATGCCAAAGGGTAGGTCCCAGGCACAGAAGTGGCCCCAGTGAAACAAGAAAAGCAAACACAAATGACATATCAGCACACACAAAGACTCAAACCTGAATGCAGACAAAGTACACATATCATTGAGTCACAAGCAATCCTCCTAAGTCTGTTAGGGTAGTTTTTACATCAGAGACAAAAAACTGGTTTTTGTTGTGTTGTTCCTATCAGGCATCAGAGACAAAAAACTGGTTTTTGTTGTGTTGTTCCTATCAGGCATCAGAGACAAAAAACTGGTTTTTGTTGTGTTGTTCCTATCAGACATCAGAGACAAAAAACTGGTTTTTGTTGTGTTGTTCCTATCAGACATCAGAGACAAAAAACTGGTTTTTGTTGTGTTGTTCCTATCAGACATCAGAGACAAAAAAACTGGTTTTTGTTGTGTTGTTCCTATCAGACATCAGGAAAAGCAAGAAAATTGTAAGCTTTGATCATACTATTAGACTGCCTTTTGATCATGCTGAAAAGTGCATCTTTGAGACAGTGCAAAAATCGAAAATTCTCAATTGCTTGCAACAGCGATATGTGCAAACGCATAAATGTACACACTAAAACATATTATACAGCTATCCCTTGACACAAGACCTTTAAATAAACAATGCCCTTCCTTTCATTATCCTCTTATTGTCAGACTGAAGCAGTTTATCATGCACAAACCCCAGCCCTTCATTACACATGACATACTTGTGCATTTACAGGTTTTGAGACCTTCATGACGTAAAACAAGGATGCTTTAAATAAGGTGGACTATTGAAAATACACATGAACAGCACAGCATACATGCAGAGACTTTTTCAAAATTTGCCATTAATACAAATCAGAAAACATGCAAGCACCAAGTCAAACTAATGCTGAAGTCATAAACTAATATATAAAATCACAGCAAGTCTCAAGAAATAAAGTTCTAATAAATAATACAATTCTAAGAAGAAAGTCAATGTCTCCCTTTTTGTATGTTTATGTACGTATTTCTTTTCTGAACCTGTTTATACCGTAAAAAAAAAAAAATATCTGAACAAACATTGACACTTTAAGGTGAATTTAGAGTTTCATTCCATTCAGTGACTTCAGCATTATTTTCCACAGGCACGATCAGCTTGCACAAAGTCAAGACCACCTACCAGCATGCTGCTTCTTTTTTCTCTTGACTGCAGCTCCTATCACATCCAACAGTTCAGCCTCTGGCATATTTTCTCTGAGAGCATCTCTCAATGACACCTCAGCATTTCCATGAAGACACACCTGAAAAGATTGAAAAAAAAATCTTACCCAGTCCATCTGAGGTTCAAACTTCACACTGAAAAAAAGCCACTTACAGAAAATGGCTGAGTTAAGGATTTAATGAACAAGTGTTGAGCATGGAATTGAGCAAAGAAATAATTCCTTGGGTTAAGGAATTTTTTTTTGTCCACTTACATGATCTACTGGCATGATATGTTTCTATTTATAACTCTATGCAAGCCTAACCCTGTCCCATTCTGTGCCCAGCTGAGTTTTTACAGGTGTTTCTTTTCAGTTTAGTTAGGACTCTTAGCATAATGATGACCAGTCTGGGCAAGGAAATTCAAGACAGCTGGCACCAATCTCTTGGGCAACACATATCAATAAGGTGATGATAATAATAATTTGTTTTAGTAGAGGTTTTACGGCGCTCGCAATTGCATAAGGTCATATGAGCGCCAAGGGGTGGATGTCGACAGAGAAGTCCTTAGAGGAATCAGACTTACTCTGCTCATCTCTCTAGCTTCAACAGCACAAAGTCTGCTTTGACTATCATATCAAGGCACCCCAAAAATAGCGGGGAACGCGCCTAACGACACTCCAGTCAGTGGCACCGTCCGTGACGGGGGGGGGGGTAAATAATAATAATATTAATAATAATAATAATAATAAACAGAATTTGTATAGCACATGCCCTCGCTCAACAGCAAGCCCTATGCACTTTACACTATAATATTAATACCCCAGCACACACTATAACACTTAGAAACATTCTCGGCTTCCCGTGAAGCATACGGATGATATTAATGATGAAGTTGATGTTGATGATGACGATAATGGTAACAATAATGATGAAAGATGTGACTACCACATTTTAATTCTTTCTCATTGTCAAACCCACCTTAAGGTTCCCATCCGCTGTCAGTCTCAGCCTATTGCACGTACCACAGAAATGTTCACTCATAGATGTGATGAAGCCAATTTGTCCAGCAAAGCCTGGAACCTTGTATGCCTGTTTTAAAAAATGGAGAATGTAAATGTGTGCATTTCAGATGAACAGACATAACATTACCCTCATCCGTGATATAACAAGGGTAAAGGAATGAGCCAAAATACCTAGAGTGATAAAACAGATTTGACAATGGTTTTTGAGTGGTATTTGGATAATGGCAACAACAATAATATTTTGTCATGTATGGAATGTAAAAGCCTAGGGTGGAACACCCCCCCCCCTCCCCCCTCAGTGAGGAGAAAGAGAGGAAGGCTGAGATCCACCTGGGAGCGAGATCTAGAGGCAGATTGTGGACATATGGGACACAGCTGGTTGGAGGTGGAGAAGATCGCCCAGAACAAAGACAGAGAGAGCCCTTCATGGAGGCCATTTCCAAACACCAGGGTGAAAGAGGTGAATTATGATGATGATATGGTATGTTTGGTATGGGTATAACCTTCCTTTTGACGTTCTATTCTATATTCTATAAAACAGGCGAGATCTCTGACTTCAATATCCATCTCTGATAGTACACAGCCAGGTAGGAGAACAGTCTCGGAAACTCCCCAAATAACTCAACTTTAAAAACAACCCCTAGGAGATTCAAACCAGGCTATCTGCACCATAGACCAGCATGATACCAACTGAACTAACTGCACTCCCATTGTCTCAGGAACAGACTAGGATAATAGTTACACTGAACAGAAGTACAGTCGAACCTGCTGGTTCAACCACTTCCCACCTTATATTTATTTTTTCTATTGTGATGACACTGTCCAAGATGTCAACCTGTCTAAGACAACCAGTTTTTCCTCGACAATGGGTGGCCACCTGGGACAATTTCAACCTTACACAAGTAGTGGCCCCAGGGTAAAAGATCAAGGGGAAGGTCATGTGGAACCTGGAGAAGAGTCACAGAAATTGATGTTCAGAAAAGTGGGAAGATATTGAATAACATCAAGCAGCTATCCCAGGATACGGAAAAGTGGAAAGTGTTTGTTCGTGGCCTATAATCCTGATGCAGGTAGAGAAAGGCAATGATGATGATGATGACAAGAACTGGCAGGTAAAGTCAGTTCCCCAACCTTTGACGTGTCGTTGGGTCGGTCTGAGAGGCGTGTCAGGTCTGGGAACCTCTCATGGATCATGTGCAACATCTCTTGGTAAGACACAAACTTCTTGGTGTTCCATCTGTTGCCCCCAAATGGCATGTACTCGATGAAACGAATGTCCACTTTCTGGAAATGGCAACAAAAACATGTGTCAGTAGAATTCTAGAATGATGACAAAAAATTCTAGGACACTGAACCTTGGAAGCTAAACGTAGCATTTGCTATACAATTTTTGGGAATTATCCCCATGGCAAGGGTAGGACATTGACTAAAATAGCAAGGACCAAAGAATCAAAATGGAGAAAAGTAATATTTAACTTTATTTAGCCCTTTTTCTGATTGGTCACCGAATTTCATCGAAATCTCACGAGGGACAACAAGGGAACTTCATTTAGAATAGGGAACCCCCCGTCCGTTCGCACTCCACGAAAATCGCGTCAGCGGGGGGAAATTCTGTCTAGCGCTTCGCGGCCCGCTTTAGCATTGCTACACTATGGGCCTCTAGGAATGATGCATCTGTTCCTGAAAAACTTTCACCAAGCTGCATATCAAGATCATAGTCCTTTTACAACAAAACAACACTGCTTTTACATAAATAAGAAGAGTATACATTACCTTGTCTTTCGTGAAGTCCACAAAATCACAGATTTCATCTTCATTCATACCCCTCATCACAACGCAGTTTATCTGAAATAATAAAAAGGCAACTTTGCAGACAATAAAACTTTTAGAATTCACCTACTAAAGTAATCTTTATCAATTAGAAATTTGTGCTTAATGTATCCCATAACACGCCGCAGCAAATCTCAGCAAAATTTATCACTACTTGATTACTCACACTTTGAAAACACACAGACATCAACACATGCACGCACACACACATTTAAACATAAAATTTAGAAAGTCAGAAAAATGAAAGCAATCATCGGCAAAGACAGCCTGTATCTAGCTGTATGGACAGACACCAAAATGACCAGACCATACCCCCCCATGTGACCCATGACACTAAATCTGCTCTTACAACCTCCAGAATAAATGGCAGGAAAGCAAGTATCCTACACCCCCCCTTTCCGCAACACACACATACATACATCCACAACTCACTCACACAAACACCCATCTCACCTTCATTGGGTCATAGCCCAACTCCAAGGCCTTGTCGATACCCTTCATGACCTTGTCAAAGCCTCGCCTCCGTGTGATGAACTCAAACTTCGCTGGCACCAACGTGTCCAGACTCAGGTTGATCTGGTCCAGCCCAGCCGCCTGTAGATCTGGCAGTCGCCGTGCCAACGTCACAGCATTGGTGGTGATGCCGATGTGTTTGAGTCCCAGTTCTCGGAGTCTGTTCAAACCATCTGAGACAATGATAGAACAATACATTTATTTCTCGGAGTATGTTCAAACCATCTGAGACAATGATAGAACAATACATTTATTTCTCAGAGTCTGTTCAAACCATCTGAGACAATGATAGAACAATACATTTATTTCTCGGAGTCTGTTCAAACCATCGAAGACAATGAAAGAACAATCCTTCTTTTACAAAATATTCTTCCTTACGGACCTGCTTTATGCCACACATATGTCACACAAAGTTAGACAGATGCCTAAAAGAAGAAAAGTCAACTACTTGCCCCTTTTAATCTGCTCATCCTTCCCTTCTCAAGCCAAAGTACCACAAGGTTCAACCCTGAGCTGGCTTAGAAATAGGTGCAGCCACTGGACAACATATAGAAAAAGAGGCAGGGTGTTGTCCTCTGGCTTTTTTTTTTTTACGTCCTTTCTTACTCATCCTAAACGGGACATGACACCTAGTCTTCAAGGTAAAAGACGAAAGAACTCAGAGATCCAAAGAGAGAATTAATATTCCACAGAGGGTCATAACTTGCACAGTTTTTCAAAAACTCACCTATGATGGTTATGATGTCCTTCCGCACCAAAGGCTCTCCCCCAGTTAACCGAATTTTGTTGATGCCCTCCGCCACAAAGAGACGGGACAAAGACAGTATCTCCTCTGTGGTGAGGATGTTCTGTCTGGGCGACAGACTGACTCCTTCCTCTGGCATACAGTACTGACCTAACGGAGCAAGAAAAAGAAAAAATTTCCTACACAAAACATTCAGCGCTCTTGCACTATAGACATCATATGAGATATAATAAATCTGTAACATTTCGAACCATGAGGTGCACAGCGTCCCAGAAGATAGATAAAGGACTTGATAATCAGGCTTGCACTATATCCCAACCCAATAAATGTTAACAAAGACAAGAGGAAGAAACTCAAGCTGGGAGTCACACAACAGTTTACATTATCCATCTGGTCTTCATAATGTTTTTACCCACTTCCTATATTTATATATCTATCTGTTTTTTGCCATACTTACAGAGTTAACAAAAATGACACAATATAAAATGAAAACACAGATTCAATCTTCTTATTTCTTTCCCATCAATAAAATGCATCTAACAAACCACCGGCAACATCAGGCATCCCGAACCATCACCAGACTAGAGACAGTGCGGGCACCATATGGCTAACCTAATAGTGTAGATAGGGTTGTAAAACCTATACCATTTCACCATTTCTTCACATCGCTAATAATAACATTTGGAAGATCAAAGAGACAACATAGAAATTTACAGGCTTTGAAGATGAAAACCCAAGCTAAAAAGAATTTCTACATTTACTTACACCGGAGGTTGCAGCGCTCTGTGAGTGATATACGTAGATATCTATGCTGTCTTCCGAAAGTGTCAGTTAAAAAGTCGGAAAAAGGCCGATCGAATGTTGCCACTTTTTCCTTTGCACTTTGCCGGACATCTACCTAAAAGTTGCAAAGTAAAATATATCATCACTGAGCTATTTCTACTTTTCAGTAAACATGCTCCATTTAACAGTGAGTACAAAAGCAAATGAAAACAAATTATACATGGTAAACATTGATAACAGGCACATTTCTGTGTAACATGGAGAGGAGAGGCGAGGGGACACAACTACGACTAACATTATTATCCATCCCCCAAGCCACACATAACTGTGATACATGCAGCTAACCAAGCAGTGATAAGCATGCAAGTAGCCTTTCATTTCCTTCAAGAAACTCCAGCATAGAATAATAATAATAATAATAATATTAATAATAATAATAATAGATTTGCAAAATATATCAATATCATGACAGAAAATACTTCAAGATTAATCTTCATCTCTAGTTAGATGGAGGAGAGGTATCATTTTTTAACAGCAACAGGTGCATGATCAAACTGAAAATTCGCAACTCTGCAAATTTAAAAATAATCTGCAAAATGTAAGTTTGCGATGCCCTATGGTCAAAATCATCTTCACACACAAGAGGCAAGTCTATCCCCACAGTTACCTACATGAGCTGATGGAAGGACCAAGCCAAGATTATTTTTTCTTGTGATTAAGATACACTTTAGATAGATGCATTGGCTTACAAATTCTTTGACACTCTTCAAGAGTGACAAAATCACATGACTGAATACTGGAACAAGTAATATTTAGTTGTAAATATATGATCATTTAATTCTTGATCACAGTGAATAAAACAGACAACTAATATGTGCCTGATGTTTTACTTAATAAGGTCACCAAAAAGGATTCACACCCCTATACATATAAATATATATACAGTCGAACCTGCCTCAACGGAAACTTGTGTAAAACGGAAACCTGTCTTAACAGAATCTCCCCGTTCCCCCTTGATAAATTCCTCTTTAATTACCTGTGTAAAACAGAAACCTGTCCAACGCGGAAACAGAAAGAAAAATCTGCTCCCTTCCGAGGGTTTTACCTACGGAAAATGCTTTGCCCGTTCAGTCCTGATTTGAAACAAAACTCGCAATTTTGGTTCCATCCGCCAGCTCTAAACTTAACGCCTTGCTGCCAGGCGAGGAAGGGGACCAGGGGTGCAATTTGAGGGTAGATGTTACCCCATCTATGTGAGCCCTGAGTGATGAAGATGGTCAGGGTGGTGTGGGTGTGAAATCTCACGAGTGCTAGTGAAGAAAGTGCTCGAATAGCAAGCCACTATGGGAACTTTCCTGGGTAGCCAGAAGCCAGAGGTGTGAAATTAGTTTGACCAATGCCTGCCGCCCTGATCATACAGCCAGCCGAGAAAAGAGTTCCTCGAATCGTTGTTACATCGCAGTGAGGGGTGGCATTGGTTGACTGTGTTTATTACACCGATGGGAGGGGCTAAATGTGGAAGCAAAGGAGATGTTCAAACGTGTCTGTTTTTAATAGGTCGAACAATGGTCCTATGAAATGCAAGCCATGGTGGTAATTGGATAAATAAGACTGATGCATGTCATTATCAAAGAGGATAACAGCTGAGAGGTGAGAAGTTTTCACCACTTGTGATTGCTTACCGACCGCACAAGCGATCCTTGATCCCACCGGCTACGCCTTTGAACCCCCCCCCCTCTTCCATCTCCCCACTAAATTCCCCTGTCTAAGACGGAATTTTTTTCTGGCTCCCTTGCGATTCTGTCTTACACAGGTTTGACTGTACTGTATACAATTGAACCTTCCATGATGGCCACCTGTATAATACGGCCACCTGTACAAACGGCCACTTTCCATTTCCTCCCTTGAATGTTTTCTATATATATAATAATTTAACTGTGTAACATGGTCACCAGTCCAACCGCTGCCACCTAATTTTATCAACCCACTGTCAAATTTTACTGCCTGAGGTGGCTAGGCATGGTCTCTCATCGCCCGACGCTTTCACATAAAATTTTTAATTGGCCCCTGATGCTATGGATAAGCCGATCCTTTCACATGTCGTTATTGTTAGTCCCTCCAATGAATGTTTACCCAAGTTAACCAATGGGTACCAATACATTTTCAACTGCTGGTGAGGGAAGCGTGTGATCTGTCATTATAACCTATAAACCCTGCCTACAACTAATGCCCACGCTCGTTCTCCAAGTGGTGGGGACCCGTGAGTTTGTTTTACCAAGGCACTGTCTAAATTGTCTTACATAAGATTTACAAACCTTCAGATCTGAAACAGGATTTTCTTCCTGGCGAATTGGCAGAGCAGCTCCAGCAGGAGCCACTGTTGAACATTTTCTGAACTTGGACTTGTACGAAGCAACAGCAAGCCTTGCATCTTGAAAACTTAAACAGCTTCTTTCACCAAGCACTCTGAATCCTCGTGCTGGGACGTTCAAGGCACTTTGTGAGTGTACATGACAAACATGTCTTATCACTGGCAAAGCAGTGTTCGCAATACACACAGGGCCTTGGCGCACAGCAGACATTTTTATAACTTCAGAGACTCTCTGTAACAAAATAAAAAGTGAAATAATTAAGATCAAATACTTCTAATATTCACATGTGCATGCAAATGGGTCCCTAAACTGTTTCGCTACCTTGAAGTACTTGAAGTTTGAAGCGTGTAAAACACACATGATGATCTGTGTGTTATCAGAACCACAAGTCGCCATGGCAAAGTCCACAGTCTGTCTCATGATCTATCATTATAACATGACAATTTCTTTAAAATTCCAAGATCCTTTACACCAGGAATAAACTGTCTTCTTAGACTTAGGTAGGCCTACTTGATCCAGTGACAAAAAACTAAAACCTAAAACCTATAAAATCAAAAAATAGTGCCACTACATGACATAGGCCTAGATCTACAGTATTACTTTACGTTACAGTAGACATTAACAACTTGATTGTTGGTCAGCGACAGTGTGGGCCTAACCTTAGACTTAGAAGTAAGGCAAAGTGTTGTCTACTCACAAGCAAAATTTAAAAGTAAGTTATTGTGCACCGAGTACACAGCTGCACAGGACTAGATAGAAATCTAGCAGATTCTAGATGGATGGATGGACAGCAGTGGCAGAGTTGAGTCCCCACCTCTTCTCTTCTATCGCTAGCCGGTCAGCACTGTTACCTTCTTAACTTTCCACTCGGCCACAATTGCAAAATGCTTACACAACACTGTCTGAGGTGTCTCCTCAGCAACCTGCAAGTGATGCAAGAACCTATGAGAGAAGCTCAAACTCCAAGCGATTATAATCACGACGTTCACATAGAATAATCAAAAGACATCAAAAGTAGGCCAAGCACACAACAGCGTTTCTTCAACAACACATCCGTGGGCCTTCTAACTGTAACAGTAGTTTGGCCTCAGCCTGAGCCTACACACTTCGCCAAGGCCAGCATAGATCTACTACTCAATATAATGCATTCACACATGACGCGATCTACTTCCGAATTCCTCTAGACTGCTGCTATGCTTTCTGGATTCTGCTGGAAAACAAATTGCGTTGTCATCCTCCCCTGACTCCCGACACTTGGAAGCGCACCCAATGCCACCACCCACCAAATCCAATCCAAACAAATCATCGGACAGAACCCGGAAAGACTTTTTACTTTTTACTAGGCTTAATTAAATCTATTACCTCGTTTTTACGGAACATTTCCAGGCCTAGTTCGTGTCTTTTCATTAGGCCAATACAATTTTTTTTTTAACTATTATAAATGTGTCCGGCTTCGTTGTTGTTGTTTTTTAATTATCTAATTGTGTTTCTTAATACCACCCCAGCCCCTAGAACCAGACGCAGTTGCATAATATATATGCAACTTGGCTTGGATTTCGGTGTTGCTGTTCATCCGAACGTTGCTTGATAAGTGTTGAGAGGGAAGTTGATATGAGCAAGGACCGACCGCGAGGCGTTCACATTAATCTACTTGTATCCGTCGACCAAATCCATGTCCGAATATTATTTCTATTAATTTTAAGAAAGAAAAATTAAATGAACGAAGGCCTATTCCAGCGAATAGCGACGCACCATAATGTTTTATTACTTTTATTTTAATTTTATATTTGTGTGCGTGCGTGTTTTATGGTGTTCGCAACTGCAAGATGTAATGAATAATAATATAATAATTAATGTGAGCGCGCGGGACACTAGGCAAAGCATTTTCAGTTTGGTACGAAAAAATTTTGAATTTTATCAGTGTGGCAGCCTAAGTCTTCTTTTATAGATTTTAGGACCATCAAAGATCTTTAACGTGCATAACTTTCACATGGGACGTCCGAGATTTATTCGCCCTTATCCGAGAAGGCTGTTCGATATATCTTACCTACCTAATGATCAGGGTGTGGCCTGTTGGGGAGACAAAGAGTATAGTAATGGCTAAAAGACAGCAGTAAGAATTAGAAGCCATGGAGTAGCACTAGCAGTAGAAAGGCTCTAGAAAGAACCAGGAGCCCAGTGGAGGGGGCAAATCAGGGGGGGGGGGGGCAAAAAGTGCAGACGAGAGCAGACAATAGAACATGGCTAGAGAGAGAGCAGGAAAGGAGGTGAAAGGAAACAATTTTAGAGAAGAAAATGTTCCGCCACTGTCAGGTTACGAGCCCAGGACCTATTGAATGAGAGGGGAACCCCATCTCTTGGCCACGAGAGCCCCCCTGAGATAAATGTCAATATTTGATAAGAATTCTTGTCACATGGGAATCAAACTCGGGTCTTCTTGTTCGACGGCAAAGCGCCCAACTGCTGACAGCTCTACACACAGATTATCATTTCATTTTATTTTTTTTTCTTTGGGGGGGGGGGGGGCGGGGGGGGTGGGTGTTGTTTTAATTTTCTTTTTTGGGGGGGGGGGGGAAATTGGGGGGGGGGGGTCGATTTTTAGTTTTTATTCTTAGTTTGTTGTTTGTTTGGGTGGAGTTGTTGTTTTGTTGAGGGGTTGGAGGGGGCAGGGAGAAAGAGAGAGAGAGATCAGAGAGGAAGAGAGAGAGAGAGAGAGAGAGAGAGAGAGAGAGAGAGAGGAAGAGAGAGAGAGAGAGAGAGAGAGAGAGAGAGAGAGAGAGAGAGAGAGAGAGAGAGAGAGAGAGAGAGAGCACCAACCAAATGCCGAAAAGACCAAAGGCACTGTGTGGTATACCATCAGGCAGAAGTGTGGATTTGTAGTACAGAAAACAGTGTAGGCCCTACATGTGTACCTTTCTGTACTCACCACAAACAACAGCTCGCAACTTGACTAAAAAGAGGGGAGGAGGAGGAGGACCTGTGACCCATCAATGAAGTGGTTTTCTTTTTAATAATGATTCTTATGAATATATTTTTAAAATAAAATAATAATTTTTAAAAAAATATTATATGTAACAATAATAATAATAATAATAATAATAATAATAATAATAATAATAATAATAATAATAATAATAATAATAATAATAATAATAATATAATAATAATAATAATAATAATAATAATAATAATAATAATAATAATAATAATAATAATAATAGCCCTGACGACCACGACGACAACGATGATGATGATGATGATGGAATAAAAAGACGATCCGAAGGCGTTGACAGTGAAAATGTTGATGATAAGGAGAGGAGCGAGAACAGAAAGAGGAGAAACACGTAGAAATATAAATTATATTTCAAATAGACACTTTCAATATAATGGGTTTCTTCACTGATGTCTTAATTTCTAAGCCCGCTCTTGCTCAGCATACTCATGTCTATTTGATTCCGATACGGTTTGTTAGTTTTGTCATGAACCCTGGCCTTGTTTGTAGGCCTACTACTGCGAGGTGCTACCGATTAGCACATTCGCACTTTTTTAGTTAGTAGTACAGGGTTTTACGGCGCTCGCAACTGCATAAGGTCATATGAGCGCGCGAAACACAAGTTGGTAGCATTCGCAATAGTTTACTGCACGGTATTCGCACTTTGCTACATCGTTGAAAGCAAGTGAAGACTTGATAACAGTGTGTTCACAGTTGTTCACACTAGAGGACTTGGGCCGACGAACGACTGATAACGACAACGGTCGACCAACAATTTGATACAGATTATTAATGTCTCTAGTCTCTAGATTATCTTTAAAACTTAGTACACATCGGACTGCCGTTAACAGCCGAGTTCATTTTTTTTTTAAAAATTTTGTTGTTGCGGCATGTCCGTTATAAATAAAATGTCTAATTTATGGCATCGGCCATGCAATGTAACCGAGGATTTCAAACTTCACTTTCGTTACCGGTCTTATTTTGGGGACTCTTACTGTAACCAAAACTAGTTTTTGCTGTAACCCTAACACTAATTTTCAAGCAGTGATCTCATGGGTGTTTACACACTGACATACGTAGTAGAATGCAGTTGATATTGCTAAATTTAATACTATATCTAGACACCTACATAAGATATAGGCCTACCCTTATCAAATACATGTAATTTTGTTATCAGATTGGTAACTATAATACTGTAATAGATCTTAGCCTTGTTTATGACTGCTGAGATTCATGACAAGGCAGAATTGAACTCTTGACCATTGTTTCATTTCAGCAAGATAACAGCGCTTTATGTTCATGTATATTTTCAGGAAAATGTTACTGTTGTACTGCATTGTGTATTACAAATGTGCTGTTGCACACTAGCACAAATCAATAGAAATGTGTTCATAATAATGCAACTACACTCACATACTCATACATACAGACAGACAGATACTCATAAGATGAGCTCATAGATCTTGACCAAACCAAAATGATAGCCTCCATCTTTTCTTTATTCGGTATGAGGAACTTACGGAGGGAAAACAAAATACGTATATTAGGTTTCGAACGCGAAACCTATTGAATGAGAGTAATCTCGAGATTTCAAGAGCCCGCCCCTTTTGTCCCATCTGCAAAATTTCCCTGTAGGCATTTGTGTGGTCAGATCACGACAGGGACGATATTATCATCAAGCTTCTCTTGAATCTACATGTATGCATTTATACTCTCGGGTTGTCCTTTTACAAAATGTGTCTTTCACTTTTTCCCCCTCTGTCATAACGCCTCCATCTTAACCTGATTGTAAACCGTGAAAATATGAACTATTGCGTTCTCATCACACATGAAGAAGAAGAAGAAGAAGAAGAAGAAGAAGAAGAAGAAGAAGAAGAAGAAGAAATATATGCAAGCACTTTTCAAGCCTTGTTGCCTTACTATTAAAAGAGAAACTAGATCTATATTTTCTAAAAAGAAAGAAAAAAAGGTTTAGCTCAACTTAGAGTGCGGCCATGCGTGCTGACTTGTTGGACAACTCTACCTAGCCAGATACGTACGCTCTGCTGCACGTGTACAGTCAACTATTTGTGTGTAAACGTGTGAGAATTTTGAAATGAAATTATATGCCAACTTGTTTATAAAGCGCCTCCATTTTATTTTCTCAGCAGTCTCACCCTGACTCGTAGTTGTAACAATCCAAAATATGAAAATGCTTCACGTGAACATAAACAAGCAAAGTCTTGATTTTTGTCTGGCGGCCACCTCATCTCGTTCGGGCTGCTGAACTTGCAAAAAAAAAAAAAGATACAAAATAAAAGCTCCACGGCTATTCAAATGTAAATACAGTCACGTGAAAATTTTGAAAATAATACAAATGTATGTTCACCGCTGGTTAGATTCTTTAAAAATTAAAGAAAACCAGCTCCTCTTACGGATTGGGAAACAATTTGTGACATTTTTTCATGTCTTACAACTTAATCAAAGAGAGTGCATTTTCCTCCCATCTTTCAAGTAAGTTTGGAAAATCAGAAACTGGTGCAGATTATTGAGATATGTAACCCAACAAAATGCAACTTTGTGAGTAATTTGTGAGGGTGCCAAACATGTAACACCAGCTCGCAACATTCTGTTTTACCAACAACTTTCCTATGTCCTTAGATAGTATTGATACTCTTCTGACTCTTAAGAAGGGTTATAATTAATGTATGAAAATTTGTTTAAAGTTTCAATTTATACATGATACTAGATCTATCTCAATGACTTATAATTCCATGGACGAGTTTTATTGTCCTTCTAGATCTAGTAACAGTATAAATACTTTTAAAAGTTACTCACACTTTACTCGAGTAGTGAATATTGGCCATAACTCATTCGCTATGTTTTGTTGTTGTTTATTTTTTCCATTCTGATGATTTTTTGACGAGTTCTAGATATTAGAATTAGACCCTTCATAGTTTGCCGACGGAGAACGTGTCTAATATTAGACGCATTGTCGCGAAATAGTTAATCGAACTAATTGTACATGTATTACATTTTGACTTTGACAGTTACCCC